GGGGGGGGGGGGGGGATCAAAGGTCTGGCGCGAAGTGACTAGCACCGTGCAGCCCCTTACACGCCACCCCGCACACAGGCTGCCTGGCAGCGAGCCCAGCCTTGAGTGCCGAGCTCAGTAGTAACCCCGGGGCCGTATGGGACACCTCCCTCTCTGATTGGCTGTTTTCTACAGAGAGCCAGCCGTTTGGTCACACCCACGTTAACAGTTAGTGCTGATGCATTCTGGGGGAGGAGGACCAGGTATGGGAAAACCAACCGTGATACAGTTCCACTGGCTCATACCCCACAGACAAGGTGTGGTCTAAGGGTGCGGCTGGGGTGTAGCATTTTTGGGTTGAAGACCAGGGAAAGTCTTCAGGACTGCCTGACAGGATTCCCTCTGACCAAACTCCCTGTTTCCATGGGAATGGCTGCCCCACAGCCCCAGTGACTGAAACAGAGGGAGCAGGAAAAAGTAGCTGCGGCACTCTGGGAAACCACGCCTTGGTCAGAATTCCTGTCCTATCTTTGATACTCTGATGTGGTGATTTGACCGAGCGCAGAAGTGGCATGTGATAAGTCGGTCGTCAGCATGATTCCCCCCCAGTCTGTCTCTGTGGGTGGGTTAAAAGCGTCGGGTATCACTCGTGCCACATTCAGTGAGGAGCCAGGCCTTCATTTCACCAATTACCTTGTGAAACTTGATTCGGGGTAGAGCTGAGGAATCGTCAGGATGGAGCTGAAGACCGCCTCGCAGAGGCTGAAGGGTATCATCAGGATGGAGCTGAAAGCTGCCTCGCAGAGGCAGAGGGGAATCATCAGGATGGAGCTGAAGGCTACCTCGTAGAGGCCGAGGGGAATCATCAGGATGGAGCTGAAGGCCGCCTCGCAGAGGCCAAGGGGAATCATCAGGATGGAGCTGAAGGCTGCCTCGTAGAGGCTGAGGGGGCCATCCGCTGGCTGTTGTTCTGTTTCCAGCCAGTGGGGAGTGACAGGCTTTGATGCCCTCTTCTCTAGTCAGACCCTGCAGCAGTAGCGCCCCCCACCTGTGTGTGGATGGCACCCCAGGGGACTTCCTTTTCCTTCGGGAGACATTTTCCCCTCATTCGTTTCCAGCCATGTTTCATTGTGCCTCATCTTATACTGGACTGAGCTGTTCGAGATTGATATGAGGCCACAGAGAATGCCTTATAGAGAAGTCTCTCGCCCCTTTCTGCATTCTCTGTGTGAATCTGCACCTTGCTTTTAAGTCACAGGTGGGGCAGAGTGAGGAGGGAATGGGCGGGAGGGTTTTAATGGAGCTTGTGCATTCAGGTGTTGCAGGAAAGACGGTTTGGGCTCTGAGGCGGTGCTGGTCGCGCTATGTGATTTGGGACTTCTGAGCAGGGTTAGAAAGAATCCTGGGCTGAGCGATGATGGTGCCAGTTTATTACTCCAGGGGCACCAGGCGGCACTGTATGAATTTGGGTCTGGATTAAGACAAACGAAGGCTGTGATTCGCAGCCCTGGTGTCAACATGGTCAAGGCCGTCCGACTCCCATTAACAATTGATAGTGAATGTCCACCCACACAATCCTGATGTTTATAAGGATGTATATTTAAGACACCATCGAATCAGGAGGCTGGTAGTATGGTGACAGCTGGAGGAAGTGGAAAGGCACTGGAGTAAGTGAAAGGTCACAGGAAGAAGTGGAAGGGCGTAGGGGGAAGTGGAAGGTCATGGGAGGAAGTGGATGGGCATAGAAGGAAGCAGAAGGGTGTAGGAGGAAGTGGAAGGGCATGGGAGGAAATGAAATGGCACTGGAGGAAGAGGAAGGGCGCAGGAGGAAGTGGAAGGGCACAGGAGGAAGTGGAAGGGCGTAGGAGGAAGTGGAAGGGTGTAGGAGGAAGTGGAAGGGCGTAGGAGGAAGCATAAGGATGTGAGAGGAAGTGAAAAGGCATGGGAAGAAGTGAAAGGGCATGGGAAGAAGTAGAATGGCACGGAAAAAAGTGGAAGGGCACGGGAAGAAGTGTAAAGGCACGGGAGAGAGGACGTGAAAGGACACAGGAGAAATTGAATCCTCCTAGAAGAACAGCTGCCTGCTGTTACCATCCATCTGTTATTCATGGCCTACATTCACAGCAGAACTTACCCTCAATAGCACAAAGTTTCTGGGCTGGACATTTACATAACTTACCCTAAAAACCCAAGAAATTCAGGTGTTAGATGGTTATGGAGACCGTCCTCAGTACCATAGAAACTTCACCTGGATATTTACAGTACCACTGCATCAGCGTACTACAAATAGCCACAGAAACAAAAATTATTGTTAAAACTGTCAGTGGTCTGACCAATCAGAGCCCAGCGCAAAGAAGAAGATGCTAATAAATGTCAGGTGACCAATTATGGTGTACCGTCTGGGCTTTTCAGTGAGCATATGTATCTTCAGAAAGAGCTGTTAGTATTTAGCAGGACTGCTTGACGCCCAGTTCGAAATCTTATTATGGCTGACGTTATCATTTATGCTTTTGCCGTTAAAAATGTTTCAGTGCTTCCTTTAAGCAGTAGGTCTTCAAGGCGGCCGCTGTGGATCACATCCCTCCTGAGGGACTTCAGATCTCTGTCAGTGCTTTCTTTCCTACTACTCACACAGCCTGAGTGAATCCCTTCCAGAACATTCTGAAAATTATGAGTGGAACATGGCAGTGGGATGATGGTGTGTGAGTCCCCCCCCCCCTCCATGTAGGATGAGGTACCCATACAAAGTGCTGCTCCGCCTTATGCCCAGATCACATTTCTGCGGTGAGATGACTGATTGATGGATGGAGGGATTTTGTTTTCCATCTGATTTGCACACCCGTGCTGGACGGAGTGCAGGATCACGAGATTAACGGAATTAAGATGCACGTCAAATTTAATCCCCATATATTAATGTGATAGCAGAGATTAGCGGTGTAATCCATTTAGGATTTGAAATATGTAATCCACTTGAATCCCAATGAAGCCGAACGATACAATCACAATCGTTGTATGTTTAATCGTTTTCTTTAACCTTTAAAAAGGGAGAGGCTTGAAAAGCAAGGAATGTAAAACAGTTTCACGTGAGCTGGGGTGGCCTGGAATGTGTAGTTTTTTTTCTTCCAGCCTATAGCGAACTGTATGTGTAGCAAAACTACAGTGACCAGCATGCCATGGAGCAGGCTGATAACTCAGTAGCTTTCGAGCTGGATTGTGAGCATGGCTACTGAGGGGATGTGTGTATGCAGTGCTGGACAGTGAAATGCGAGCTGCAGCACACATTAATTCGCCCCCCAGGCTTTGTTTACCCGCTCTGTTGCCGGTGGCCGAGCTCCAGCGTAGCACAGCTCATATCAGTGGGTTTCTAATTGCCTGTTTGTTCGAATCTGGCCTCAGGGTCCTCGGTCGCCTCCCCCTACCACACGACCACCCCGGTTGCCATTTCTTTCCCCCAGTCCAATAAGTGGAGCACGGTTGATGATAATGGGCGTCTTGTCCATGCCTGTCTGTAATTAACTTAGGTGGAATTCTGTGACGATCTTAACTGTGAGGGGAACACATCTCCCAGCCTGGGCTGATAGCAGATGCCCCCCCTAGGTGTGTGGCAGGGTCCGTAATAGAATACCCTACCTGGGCACCCCTCACTCCTACCCCCCAAAATGAGCTAACCTGATCGGGGAGATTAGATAGCCCTTGTGTGGATCCGAGGCGGTCTTGTGTAGCTGCCCCCCCCCCCACAATTGTCCATTCCTCTGTTCTCCTCTCTCTCCCCCTTTGAGCGGATGCCACAATGCGAGCCCTTGGAAGCGTGTGCCATGTCGGGGGGCGGGTGGGGGTGATTCGCACTGCCAGCCAGGCAGGGAGGCACTAGGGCTTAGCCTTCCGGGCCCCAGAGAAGTAGAGCGAGGGGCCCGCTGCCAGGAAATGTGGTATGGGGGGGCCGTAAACCTTTGAAATGAAACCAGAGGGGTTCTTTCAAAGGCCCATTCTCTGACTGAACAAGATCTCCTGGCGACAGAAGTCGGGCGGCGCGGGGTCGGTGGGACGGCACAGGTGGAGAGCGAAGGAGCCCGGTGGCGATCACAGGCTCCATTGTGCCCCTCCCCTCCCCTCCCCCCCGCCTCCGTGGGACGGCATCACGAATCTGCACCATGCAGCTCTTAGAGATATAGAATAATCGCTTACAGCAATGTGAAGCGCAAGAAGGAGTGCAACCATTCGCAGAGCACATTGGCAGCTTGGAGTGCTTTGTCCTTACAGACCTCTGTGCTGAACCTCTGTGAGATAACCTCTGTTCTGTCTATAGACTGAATACCAGACAGTATTGAGCCATGATGATAATAATGAAGAAGATGATGATGACGGTGTTGATGATAATAATGGAGATGATGACAAAGATGATAATGGTGTTGATGATGATGTAGATGATGATGATGATGATGACGATAGTGTTGATGATGGTGTTAATGACGATGATGACAAAGATGATGATGATGACGATGGTGTTGATGATGTTGTAAATGATGATGGTGACGACGATGATGAGGATGTGTTGATGGTCAAGTTGATGATGATGATGAATACAATGGTGTTGATGATGATGAAGATGATGATGTTGATACTGACGGTGATGATAACAATGGTGTTGACGATGATGATGAAAATTATGATGATGATGATAACGATGGTGTTGATGAGGATGAAGATGATGATAATGATGATGATAATTTGAAGGCAAAGCTCCAATGGTCAGAATTATTGATGTTTGTATGGAGTTGATTTGGTTCCTTTTACATGGAAAGAATGTCACCCCAGCTATTTGCCAAGGGACCCTAACAGCTATGCTCTCTCCGGCATCCTCAGATCCGCGTGGATGGACCCTCCCATGGCGCCTTACGGTACGAGACCATCCAGGTTGTGGAGAGCGGCCCAATTCTGCGGGACATGGCCTTCTCCACAGACCACCACTTCCTCTACGTCATGTCAGACACGCAGGTAAATGTCACCCATTTACTGTGCTGACTTTGAAGGTTCCAGGCTCTGATTCGGAGGACAACATGAGGGGCTCATCCTGCTCATATGGTTCACTATTGGATGTGAGTTTCTGGGCCATATTTCCAGGCCTGGTCTAATGGCCTGACACCTGATCTATCACATACTCTGCACTCTCCCTCTCTGCTCTGATGTTATAAAGAAACACAGTGTATTTTCAAATGGGAAGAGCTCTGAGTCAACCCCCCTCAACTCCCCCACGACTGGGCCACCAGTCCGATGTCTCTCTGTTATAATTGGGCTGATATCAGGTTGCATCAGAAACAAATATTGCTATTATTAGTATATTATCATCTGTTATGCAGTAGTGTTGCTATTTTAAAATGATCTCTTATCGAACCAGAGGCCGGGGACCTGGCACCTGTCCTAGGAAACCTACAAAATATGATGATCACACACTCACATACAGGAAGCAAACAGCCACACTAAAGGCAGATGGACCTTCTATCCCTTATGTCATAGCCAGTGTGTGGCAGCATCTGTACAATGATTAATCTAGATGATATTATTAACAGGAGTGGCAGGTCAGCCCATTGGTGACAGGGAGGCCCAAAACCGAAGCAGTGGGAGGGGGGATGTGTGCCACAGAGCTGGGGTCGTGTTTCTGGGGTGGGGTGATGGTGGGGGGGGGGGTTGAGCCGAGACTGTGGTGGGGCTGGGGACGGTGCCACCAAGCCAGGAATTTCGGGGAGTTCGGGGAGTGGACCTGAACCGAGGTGGGGGTGGGGGGGGTCTTACTAGTAGCATTAAATTGCTTGCCGCAATCTCATAGAGGAGGATCCCTTATAGAGGAGGATCCCTCACAAAGGAGGATCCGTCATAAAAGAGGATCCCTCATGGAGGAGGATCCCTCATAGAGGAGGATACGTCATAAAAGAGGATCCCTCATGGAGGAGGATCCCTCATAGAGGAGGATCCCTTATCAAGCAAGATCCCTCAAAGAGGAGGGTCCCTTTAGAATAGAATAGAATAGAATAGAATAGAATAGAATAGAATAGAATACAGCCGGCCCTCGTTTATCGCGGTTATTCAGTTCCAGACTCTACCACGATCAGTGAATTTCCGCGAAGTAGGATTCTTTATTTATAAATAGAATATTTTCGTAGTTAGAGCATTGAAGACATGTTTACGACCTTCTAAATACAGTTTTTAACATTATTAGAGCCCTCTAGACATGAAATAACATCCTTTAGTCACCATTACTGTTATGATTACTGGACACGGAAGCAGGAACAGGGAGACGAGGAATCAGGATCGAAGGGTTTATTTGGAATCACTCCAAATGCAGGACACAGGAACATGTAACATCAAAACGTCAATGACAGACCTGGGGTTGCAGACCCTGACGTGGACTTAAATACACCGGACGAATCAAACTGACAGAAAACAGCTGATCACAATCGGGGTTGCACACGTGGTTAATAAGGAGGCGTGGCACACAAGAGGATCGTACAGGCAGGTCATAACAATTATTCCCATATTACCCAATATATTAGACAAAATAAGAGAAAATAAGACATATTAGATGTTACAAATATATTATTATTATTATTGTACATTTAATTACGAAGAGCAAAGATGCTTCCGATGCATAACTATGTATCATTTTCACTGTCTTGATCAACTTTTTAATCAATATACAAAAAACCGCGATAGAGTGAAGCCGCGAGAGTCGAAGCGTGAAGTGGCGAGGGACGACTGTAGAATAGAATACCTTCATTGTCATTGCACAAGTACAATTGTTACTGCACGGGTACAATGAGATTTAGTTTGCGACTTCCGTACTCAATTATCAAGGAGATTCCATCATAGAGGAGGATCCCTTATAGAAAAGGATCCCTCATAGAGGAGGATCCCTTATGGAGGGGGATCCCCCCTTCAGGGCTGGGTTTGATACACTAATAATCTACCCTGGCTTTAAGCTCTGTATACAGCCCTGCTATTATTGGCCGGATGCTGCTCTTCTCGCCTCGGAGCCCCAATCGCTGACCTGTTGCCATTGGAGGCCGGTATCTCCATTGCCTTGCTGCTCTTCATTCCTTATCTTTCCTCCCTTCTCCGCCTCTCTCCCGCCCGGCCCGGATGCCCAAGGGCATATTGGTCTCATTTCGGTATCTCCTATGAAAAATGTCCCACAGCACATGATAAGTATTAAAAATATCACTGTGTCAAAAGGGCAGCTGGTAATATTGCACAGGAAGGCAGCAGGGGGCTCTGATATATTCCTGTTTGATTAGGCTCTTTAATACACAGCAACAGTGGCGTCCCGTAGTGCGTATGTGAGAGAGACTGCAGTGTGTTGCGTGTATGCTTGTGAGAAAGTATAGTGTGTTGCATGTGAGAGAGAATGTGGTGTGTGGCAGGCGTGTGAGTGTGATAATTTGTGTGTGAGAGAGTGTGTAGCATGTTGCGTGTGGATGAGAGAGTATGGTGCGTTGTGTGTGTGAGAATGTGGCGTGTTATGTGTATGAGAGATTGTGACATGTTATTTGTGTCTGAGAGTGTGTGGTGTGTTATGAGTGTGAGAGAGTGAGGTGTGTTGTGTGTCTGAGAGCATGCAGTGTGTGTAAGAGAGCGTGGTGCATTGTGTGTGTGAGAGAGTGTTGTGCAGTATGTGTGCATGAGACAGTATGACGTGTTGCACGTATGTGAGAGAGGGGGTGGTGTGTTGTGTGTGTGAGGGAGAGTGACATGTTGTGTAAGCTTGCATGTGCACAGTTGAGTGTGGAGCTTATGTGCTTGCATGTGTGTGTGGTGTACCTGTGCCTGGTTTCACAAGTGTGTGAAAAAGCATTATAGCATAACATCAGCCCCATTCTCTCTGTCTCTCTCACTCAGTACCCAAGTGTGACTCCTGCATCTACAAACAGAATTAGGATTATTTTGACAGAGAACTTAAGCTGATTTGTTTTTTATTATTAAATTCCCTGCTCTGGATGGTAATACCTCACCTCCTTATACCTCTGAGGTAGTGCAAAGAAGAAAAGACTTTCTGTGCGATTGGGGTGGGGCTAAGCTCCTTGCCTTGGAACCCTCACATACCTTATGGAACCTGATGTAAACAGAAGCCAGTAGTGCTCTGCTGGAACAGCCAGTAACGGATTTCCTAAATAAATCCTTCCAGAACCCTCTGCAACCCCACTGCAAGCCGAATTCTCTAACATTTTAGAACCCCATAAATGGACCATCTGTTCTAGAAAGTTCTAGAACCCATATTGTTATATCATGGAGTTCTGCACTGCACAATGCTGCTGATCCCTGCTGCTTCAGGACTGCCCAAGGAGATCCTGGACACGGTGCGTCTGGCCTGTACGTGGCTTCTCATTTCATATTCTTGGTTATTTGCAAATCGCTTGTTCAGATTCGAGTCAATGTGGCGCATTTTCTCGAAGCGTACTTTCCCATGTTGTATTCAGAGGGTGTCTGCTTTCAGCGCTGAGCGCTGTAGAAAGGCTGTTTGGATTACAGGATGTCTGACACTAAAACAGCAGGCTTTTCCATTACATCAGTTATGTCAGATTAATTCTCAGTTGCGATCTATTGTCTTACACTAATTAGCCCATTAACCTAGAAAAGTTCTGTTTTCTCTAAGCATCGTGGGATGTCATCTCTGAAGAACACAAGGTTATATTTAGAAAGGTTTGTGGCAATGTAAACGGCCATGGAAGAGTGCGTGCAGGTCCTGTGTTAGCACCTGGTGGTTGGCGGGGCAGGGCAGGGATCACCACAAATTCCGGGTGCCCGGAATTTTTCATCCTCAGGAACAGATTGAAATTCGGGAGGCTTTCAGCAGCCTGATAGCAGGTTCTAAGATATTGCCAGAACATTCTGCATTTTTAACAGAATGCAGAGGGTGGAGTGTTCCGGACCACATCAGCACCGCAGCCAGGATTCGGCTGGAGTGTGTAATTACTGAGCCCATTATGGGCCCGTTTGGTCCACTAGGGTGTGATTACAGATCCATTGTTCAGAGGCCAGACCCAGGGCCAAGCCCCTTCTCCACCACCATCCAAAAAGAGTAATTATGGAGGCCCTTTGTAGGATGGAGCTTGCTCCATGACCCAGAAGCCAAACTGGAGAGCAGCTGACCAGCCTGTAACGGATCAGCGGCTCCTGGGGGGTTTCTCTCTGTTACCTGCATGAATGTGCACAGTTGGGGGCAGAGCATTGACTTACTTCTGCCGCCCCTCCATTCTCCCTCCCAGGCAGACTAGAGGGTTGAAAGATGCTGGGAGTGGTGGTTTTATGGTGGCAAGTTTCCCAGTTGGATCAGCTTATCTTCCGGGGGACCAACAATGAGTTGGTAGTTTGAGAGGGTTAGGAGAACAGCCTGGCTCCGTAAGCAGGTCGATCGCTGTGTCAGAGAGGGTGACGGTGCTGCTTTGGGGGTGGGGGGGCGGAGGGGGGCTGCTGTTGTCCTGGATGGATGACCAAGGTCACAATGTCCCTGTCAAACTGGGAACCACTGCTGAACTGATAATGGAACCAGCAGTCTTTTGGAAGTGAGACCATGCTGTGCTGAACGGGACTAAGGGAAGCCAAATTCAGGATTCATCTCACGAAAGATCACCAGGACTGATCCACAAGGCCAGACCACTGATGGCGTTGCAGCATACATACTGCTCCTTCTTCAGGATAACATGGGAAATATGTCCATGTGAGGACAGCCAGTAGCAGTTCTGTACGGCAAGAGAGCAGGCGATTCAGTTGGCTGTTGTCAAGTCCTGTCAGCGCCCATGGAAGGTGTTTATGGCTTAGGGTGCCTTGAGCAATGGATTCAGGCTCATAGGGCTCCAGTCATTTGACTCTCAAGGGTAGATGCCTGCCCTGCTTTAATGGAATATATCGTTAAGTAGTTAATTTAGATGTATAACCAGTGGTGAGTATCTCCAGTCAGAATTTGAACAAATCCGATAAAGGCTGAAAAGCAGCGATAAAAGGGT